TTTTAATTTTAATAAGAAAAGCTTAATAACTCGAGTACAGTTTTCAATAAAAGAAAAAAACTCAGTGCCCAAAAGATATTAGGAATACTAGAGGGACCCTAAAACATCAATATGAATTAATTTAAAAGAAAAAATCACTTCTTTTATTATTAGGTGTAAAGATTACATTATGATATTTTACTATTTCAAATACATTGCAACTTAAACTTTCATTATCTCACCTAGAAAATAAAGAGGGAAAATATGACCTTACGGGTAAAAAAATGTATCCTAGTCTCTCATGGTGCAACTATAACTTATCTATATTTCAAAAAAAAAAAAAAACCATAACTTATCTAATGTCCTGGTAAAGAGAACGGTGTTGAGTATATCAAGAGTATCCAGGAAGTATAACTTATCCCAAGTTGTAACATGTCCAATCATTCTCTCCGAGTTCTGGTTCTAAACTTCACAAAAAGAAAAAGAAAAAATCACTTAACAATTAAAGTTATGAGACAATTTAGTTACCGATATAAAATTTGTACACAATTTAAGTGCATGGAGAATATTCCTAAGCGTGAGGTAGAGATCAAGATTTATGGTTCCTATTCCTACTAACGTAGTTAGTGAACAATCAACAATGACAATTTTCCTATTGCAAGAACATAGAGCATAAGTGTTAAACAATTTAAAAGAGTTGGTCACGTGGTTGGTAGCTTATGAGTCCACAATCCATGATAAAGCAAAGAATTTATTTGAATTGTTTTAACAACAGGAAAAAGGAAATATACCCTAACGTTGTACCTTTAAGTTTTTCAAGTTTCTTAAATGAGATTTATAATCACTTAATTTCTGCCTTGAAACTAAAGTTCTCTGTATTCTTTTCCTCCTAGACTACATGTGCATGTCCTTGATTATTCTTGTATCCCCATCCTTGTTAGAGGTGGTTGGCTTGCCATGAAACTTTCAATTCTTTTCCTTAATGTGCAAGGTGCATTGAATATTTTCTCTATTCTTCCCATGGGTAGCTAAGAACTTAGTGTGATTTGGTTTCTTCCCTAGTTGACGTGGTTTGAAACCCTTAGTTACCATTGGAGAGCCATTAGGACATTCAAGTATAACTTCTATTCTACTTTCATCTACACTAATTACGGGTATCACTTTATTGAGGGATGTGATTTGTGACATCCCAAATACCTGATGGTAGAAGGGAGTCCGATAACAAAAACATTTACGAGTGCTAATGATTAAATTAAGATTGAAGCGGAAAATAGAAATTCCTTACAGAAAATTCAAGGTTCACATTACACCTGAGGCCAATGGTTGACTACCAAAATATGAATATACAAAGAAAAGTCATCTAAATGTTTACAAAGAGTCATCAGAGTGCAAGCGATACAAAACATTCGTAATTATCCTAAGGATCCGAGAAGGGATCCAGAAAAGCTGCAAGGGGCAACACATTGAGCGCGTCATTGCTTTCATCATTTCAAGGGGAGGGAGGTATTGATTGAGGGTGAGTTTCATATAAATTTGTAAGGAAAACAATATTTAAACTACGCTGCTAAGGTTTAAAAGTAATTAACTTTGAAGAAAAAAGTATAAATTCACAATAAAATTGACTTACCTCATAAGTTTCCACGAACGGGCACATTTTAAATACTTAGAAAAAAAATCATCATTTGACTTATGTAACAGGTGACTATAGCAACACAGTAAAGACAGTGAAAGCATAGAACATATCATGAACAAGAAATCTAACAGAATCTATTCAAACTAAGATTCATAGTAAGAGCACAATCATTATTTAACCCCAACTAGATCCGTATTTTTATTAAGTCTTTTATTGACTTTTGCACGAATCTGTTCCAACATATGCTGAAGATAGCGGGGATTCCCAATTACTACTGTGAATGACCAAATCTTTTCATTTTTTTTCTATTGGAGTCATTTCATTTCTCGTATTGGGACAGTTCCACAATGATATTGGGTCAGCTACATAACTATTTTGGATAGTTCTATAACGAAATTAAGTATAATCTGTAACACCTCGTCTATCTTTGTACTTAATTAATTTAAAAAATCCTATTTGTTCGGGTTTTTATGCCGCATTGAACTCATTGTAAATTATTATCGTAATTTGTGAATTTTGTCAATTTTTAGTTATTTTGATTTTATTTAATTTTATTTAATTCTATTTACTTTAATTTAATTGCATTAATTTTATTTTATTTTAGTATAATTAAAAAATAAATTTCGGAAAAAATGGCAAAACGGGAGAAATCCCGCGGAAAAGGGGAGCTGCCGGCGCAGGGGCCTGTGCACTATGCGTGCACAAATCCCATCCGCGCGCAGGCGAGCTGTTCGCGCATCACCTTGCGCGCGGCCAAGCACTGCACATTGTGCGTGTGCCATCCTCGCAGCAGGCCTGCGCAGATAGGCTCCTG